CACATCATGGTGTGCTCATCTCAACTGAAACATCACGCTTAGCCATCACGGCTTGCATGTCCCGCCCTTCGATCATCGCAGCTTGCGGGTTGAGTCTAGTTCATCACATCCCCATCTCTCATCCTCAGCTCATCGTGGCTTGCGTATCACATCCTCAGCTAATCCCAGCACGCGCAGTGCATTCTCTGCTTGCATCCTCAGCTCATCATTGCATGGAGCTTGTCTGTGGTTGTGGCAGGCACCTAGCACTCAGCCACAGCCTATCACTGCAGTTATCACAAATACTGGTGGTTGTTTCAAAACTCACTCACATTCTTCATCAGACCTGAATGATTCTTTCAACTGTGTTTTATAACCCATTCTATCATCACTCATCTCACTCCTGTAATTTATCATCCTAGATGGTTGTTGTACCAGGCTCCCTTCCTCTCATCATCTATCTTCCTTTCTATCATTCATCCCATTTTGGTGTTGAATACTGACAGGGTCATCATAGTGGGGGAATTTAACATCCATGCTGATATTGAAAGGGATAGCTTAACTGCAGCCTTTATGCTATCTTAGACACTGTTGGTATTGTTAAAAATGTGAATAGTCCCACATATTCTCATCTTCATACTTTAAACCTTTTGCTGACATATGGCACTGAATTTGAAGAAATAACAGTATTTCCTCACAAACCTGTCCTCTTTGACCACTTTTTAATAACCTTTAGGATTACTTTAACAGAGTTCTCCTGAAAGAAAGTTTCAATGAAGCAGATCATTATTAGATTGTGCAGTTATACATTTTAAAGAAGCTGTTTCACTTTCTCTCTCCTCTGTGTCGCTGAGTAGTGCAAGGCAAAAGTTTAGCTCCTTGATTATTTTGTTGATGGGGTTGGTAATTCCCTACATACTGCCTTAGATAATGCAGCCCCTTTAAAAAAAGAAAAAACTTTAAAAATAGAAAGCTGGCTCCCTGGTTTAATGCAGAGCTGCGCACTACTTCTCCTCATTAATAGAGGAGAATAAGAATAATCCTAGATATCTTTTTAATACAGTTGCCAAACTCACCCAGAGCCATAGCTCTTTTGAACCTTCCATTCCATCTGCTCTTAGCAGCAATGATTTTATGGGATTCTTTATGAAAAATATTGATTTAATTAAAAGTAAGATCATTAGCACTTCTCTAAGAATGATTGCTTTATCCCTGAAAGGTGAGCCAGCATCTGACGTAGCCATAGAACCTGAACCGGGTTTAGACTGGTTTGATCCAGTTGAACTTTCAGAGTTAGCAAAACTATTGTCTTCATCTAAGCCTTCAACTTGTATGTTAGATCCAGTTTCAACCAGATTATTTAAGGAGGTAGTCCCTTTTATTTCTTCCTCCATTTTAGATGTGATTAATCTCTCTCTGTTACAGGGATATGTATCAAAAGCTTTTAAGGCTGTGTGTAATTAAACCTTTAGTTAAGAAATCTCCTGACCAGATGACTTGGTCAATTATAGACCTAAATCCAATCTTCCTTTCTTATCTAAAATTCTTGTGATCACTTACACCATAATGAACTTTTTGAAGAGTTTCAGTCTGGCTTTAGAGCTCATCATGGCACTGAAGCAGCATTGGTGAAAGTCACTAATGATATTCTAATGGCCTCAGATAATGGACTTGTATCTGTACTTGTCCTGTTAGATCTCAGTGCTGCATTTGACATAGTTGATCATAATATTCTTTTAGAAAGACTTGAATATTTTGTAGAAAATAAAGAACCAGCACTAGACTGGTTTAAATCGTATCTATCTGATCAATATCAGTTTGTTCGTGTTAATGATAAATCCTCCTAATGCTCCAGGGCTACCTGTGAAGTACCACAGTGACCAATTCTCTTTATTATATATATGTTCCCAATTGGTAGAATTATTAGACAGCATGGGATTAATTTCCAATGTTATGCTGATGATACTCAGCTGTATCTGTCTATAAATCCAGATGAAGCTAACCCATTACATAGATTACAGGCATGTCTTGAAGACATAAAACCTGGACGACTCTTACCTTTCTGCTCCTAAATGCAGACAAAACTGAAATTATAGTCTTTCGACCAAAGTCTTTGAAAAAGAAACTGATTAGTCAGTCATTTCATTTGAATTGGATTAAATTGATATCAGATAATAAAGTCAAAAATCTAGTTATTTTTAATCAGGACCCCATATCAAAGAAGTTGATAGAATTTCCTTATTTCATCTGTGGAATATTGCAAAAAATCTGAAATATCCTATCGGGGGGTAATGCTGAGAAACTAGTCCATGCATTTGTTACTTCAAGGCTGGACTATTGTAATACTTTACTATCAGGAAGTCTAAAAACTGTAGTTAAAAGCCTTCAGCTGATCCAAAATGCTGCAGCCAGAATTCTGATGGAGAAAAAAAAACATATCATATCTATCCTTTCCTGGATTCTGTTCAATGGCTTTCTGTTAAATCAAAAATAAAAATTAAAATCCTCCTCACAATTAAAGGCTTAAATGGCCAGGCTCCATCTTACATCCGATTTATGATTGTTCCTTATCTTCCTAACAGAGCACTTGCTCTCAATCTGCAGGTTTACTAGTGGTTCCTAGAACTTCTAAGTTATCAGGCCCCTCTCCTATGGAACCAACTACCAGTTTTTGTCCGTAAGCCAGACATCCTGTCTACTTTAAGGGGTAGGCTTAAAACTTTCCTTTTTGATAAAGCTTACAGTTAGAGATGCTCAGGATATCCTGAGATTGGGGGTGCTTTGATTGAAAGAAGAAATGTCTCATCATCGGGATTTGCTCCGTGATGAGAGGAAATGTAACTTGTTACTAGTTGTTTTAATGGTTACTGAGTCAGATATGTGGCGGTAATGTTTGATTTATCTAAAGGTTTTTATCTGTTATTGTGTAAATGGGTTTGGCTGTAATTTAAGGACAGATTCTAATAGATCTGCAGTGTGGGGACTATAAATCTGATAGGACTTTAATTTTTTTATTGTTGTTTTGCACAATATGCTTAACTAAGTATTTTTTGTTGTTGAATATTAGAGATTTTGCAGATATATTTTGTAGATACATTGTTTAGATTTACTTATATATTTCTAACCCTTTTATAGAATAAAATAGAAAATCCCTTTATTGTCCCACAATGGGCAAATTTACAGCAGCAGAAAGATTATTGAAAATGGTCACACAAATGTGGACCTTAGAAAAATGTATAAGAATAACATAATAGGTAAGAGTTAAAATATAAACAATACAATCCTGTAAATTGTTTTAACAATATAAAACTGGGGAATAAATAACCAATATGCAGCTATGGACATTTTTACAGTAATGGATATTTGAAAATAGCAGCAACATCAGAGATGTTCAGAATGACAGCAGCAGGTTATTTAACTGACTAAGGTTTCTATCATTATATTTGATTTTATTTGTTCCTGCTCCCGGTGGTTGGAACCTTTATTCCACTCTGGATTCTTGTTAATGTAGTTTTTGTTCACTTTAACTTTTTAAAAAATAAATAAATAAACAAACAGTTTTGAAAACCTCGGTATTCATTCTTTTCCTGCTTTGTGTGTCAACTTTCACGGTTGCTAAGCAACAGAGCATACGGCGGTAAAACCCGCCGAAGGGTGGACCTGGTCGAATTTACAGCCAAAACTCTTCTGGTCTCCTTATTTTCAAGGACTTCGAAGGATCCAGTGTAGGTAGACCGCGTCCTTGGAGGATGCAGCCCAGGTTTTCGAACAGAGCCTCTGATTAAGAGCAGGGCTGCCCGCACTGACGCGGCTCAGGGATTACGTCACACGGAGCGTTGTGCGCAGTGAAATCAGGACATTTCCTCACTTTCTAAAAAAAACCCGGGACGCCCGGGACAGGACGTGAAATACGGATATGTCCCGGGAAATACGGACGTTTGGTCACCCTAAGATGTGGCCAAGGCGATGAGGAAGTGGGTGCAAGTTTGTCAGACAACGGAGGGACAAGAGGGAGAAAAAGAGCAGGGATCCAGGTGGAAAAAGGGTCCCAGCGTTCTCACGCACCTTGCTCTTCTGGCTGGTCCAACTTCATGAGTCGTTTTCTCGCAATGGCGGTCATACAAACAAAACATGCTGGTAAGGTACCAAACAGGAAATACGCATGAGTAGAGTGGATGTAGATTTGACCAATCAGAGGCCTTCTGTCTGCGGCAATGTCTGCGGTCACCTACAATTTGGGAGAGGTGCAGCAGAGTGTCTGCAGAGGGGGCGGGGGCATATCTGCATTAACTGCGACACACGCATAAGACCTGGTTTCTGAGCGTAAACCAGCCTCAATTGATGTCACCAGATAGAAAGGTAGCTCTTAGATACAAAGCTGCTAAAAATAAATAACAAATTTTCCTCTCTAACATTAATTTACTGTGATGAAAATGTAAACTTTATGTGAATGGCTAGGGGGGGCATTAAGTGGAGCAAGTTTAAATCACATTAAAGTCTTAGTCAGCATATTTAACATGGAACTGATAGGGAGAGCTTTTGCTTGGTCAGCATTTACTGCAAGATTAGAAATGTAACATTAAGGGTTCACTGATTTAGGAAGTGGGCATTTTTTACTGATAAAAACCCTTTGACTAAGGCTTCGGTTTGTTTGATTCAAACATAATTTTCATCGGAACAACGACAAATCTCAGTTGCATAAAAATACTTTTTCTAACTTAATGATTTTTCTTTTTGTTTAATTGCTGCTATGACTACAGAGTTGTTATTTCTGCTAAAGCTCTAAAGGTTATTGAAGATCTTTTTTTATATCAAGACAGATATTCTTCTAACATCTTACAGCAAAGAATATTTTTCCCCTTTTTCAAAAAAAGTTTTTAGGTTTGTCCTTTTCTCTCTACACCGTGCTATTTATGCTCTGCTAAATGTGAGCAGACGGATTTTTGTTCTGAGCTCATTAAGTGATGCATGACCTTCATTTTATTCAGCTGCATCTAAGGAGAGGAAGTAAGGAGAATTACCAGATTGTCGCTCTGACAACGCTGCGGCCGTTTCTTACGCATGAAGTATCCAAGAACCTTATCCTTAAACACCTAAAAGCAAGAACAAAAAACACAAGCATTAAACTTAATAGCACTCAGTTTCTGGGAAAAGATGATTTTACTGTTATGCCTCTGAGATTAAAGAAAGATCAATGCAGAGGCTCCCGAAAATGAAGGTGTTCTTCCTAAAATGTCTCATTTAGTTTTTTAGCAAAATGGTGGAAATAGGGAGTATTATTCATACAGGTTGTGTATTTGGGGAACTGTCCAATGTAGCATGAGTCAATCCAGTTCAGAACTAATAATGTATCCATCCATTCAAATATTCACAGCTTTATGGTTAAGAAAAGATAAGTAAACAATTATATTTTTTGCTTCATTATTTATATTGTATTGTATTAGAATGCTAATTATTACAAGTCAAACTCAAATGTATACAGTACAGACTGAAGTCTGTTTTTGCTTTAAATATCTACGGTGGTTCAATCTACGTTGATTAAATGTTCCCTAAGATCCTTACTCAAGAACAAAGATTACAAACCTGTCCTGTTTTCACATATTATGGCAATTGCTTATTTATTTATTTTTTGCTTGGATCACCCATATGTTCAATATTTACTGTACAACAAACTGACATGCAGGAATCGTTCACACTCCTAACAGTGTTGCAAACTCTAAAGACCAAATTTCACAGTGGATCTATTGTATGATGTCCCAAGTGGTCAGCACTCAACCTGCTCTCCATGCTGTCATATTTCTTCTTCTTCCCTATCCCTCAGGCAGACAGTCCCCAGCTGTCTGGGCATCAGTCAACAGAAGTTGCACATTTTCCATCAGTTCTCACTTTTTTGAGCGCTAAGATTCCTGGACAAATACTGTGATGTCCATAAAAAGCAATTGTTTATGATTTGCTTTAAATAAACAATGGTTCTTCCTGCAGTAACAGATTCAGTAAATGACTGAACATCAGTAACAAAGAAAAAGCTTTTTATGCATCTAGAATGTATTAGAACCCTTTAAAGGATTTTTAGTTTTAACCAATTACAAATATGCAGAGTTGTATTTTTTTTTTCAAACCATTTTTCTATGAAACCACAATTAAAATCTATTATAATTCAGTTAAACAACTCCTAATAAAATACGAGTACATCCGTACATAGAATATAGTGAGGATTAATCTCCGGTTTGTCTGGAAACAGTAATGAAAAAAAAGCCTAAGACAGACAAGAGACATTAGAATCACTTGATAACTTCATGTTATGCACTGAAGAAATGGGCATTTATGCAAGAGTAGTAAGAAGAAAGACATATTTATATCTGCCTATAGAAGTCCAATTAGCAGTCTTTCTTACACAACATACAGAAAAAAGCTCTGTGCATGGGAACAAATTGTTGTTCAGTTAGTTTCCTGATCTAGATCTTACTGAGAAATTATCAAAAGACTTGAAGGTATGTTAATCTTCCGTTTAGTCTGACTTTAAATGAGGGCAAAACTTCTGCTTATTTATCTTTTTCATTTTACCTTGGAATGATACACTACTTTGTGTTGATCTTTCACATTATATCCTATATTAAGCTTTTTGATGTAATAATAAATTAGGTGGGACATTTTCAGGCATGTGAATGGATTTTCCAGATGCTATCCTGAAAAAAAGCTATGACTTACTACAAACTCATACTCTACATCTTTCACTTTATTAAGGACTGGGCTGCGGATACAAGCGGCTGAAATTTGCTGTCTCCTCAGGGTGCTTGGGCACTCCCTTTGATAGGGTGAGAAGCTTGGTCCTTCGGGAGAGGCTCGGACATCTTTTTTGGATGTCCCCTCTACGTTTCCCTTAGGAGGTGCTCAAGGCACGTCCAACTGGGAGGAGGCTCAGAGGACGACCCGTGACACTATAAACCTCAAAGATTTATCATATTATTATAGGCTGTTTGATGGCCATGCTCCCTCGTTCTCTCCTCTCCTATGTGTAGCAGCATCCCAGGGGACCTCGCCTTTTGTTTTTGGTACCAATAGGCCAGACAGAACTTGGGAAGACTTTTTTTTTAAGCTTTGTCTTTATTGAATCCACAAGGAACTGTTCTCATTTGATGTATTAAAAGGAGTGCAAGTATTTATATGATTAAAGTTATAGTGGAGGATGTTCTTTTTGGATCATCAAAATAAGCAGTCCTCCTAGTTGTCAATCATTCTGGTGATATGGTCATGGAAGGCCGTCCTACGTGCTCGTCCCCGTTTTAACTTTCCATTGGTGAGTCTGTTATAGTAGAAAAATTGCAAATCTTCTTTTGGAAAGTAAGTTTGTATGATTGATGCAAACAGCAACTTTTAAACAGAGCATGCACGAGGAGAAATGAGCTCATGCATGCTCTCGCACACGTTTAATAGGTGTTCCCTCTCGGGAGATTACATGGTTGTGCATGTCCTTTTTTTTTTAAAGTGGAGATAGCGGGTCTCAAAAAATCGCAAAAATTCTCCACTATGCCTTTAATGTACTGTCAAGGAACTTTTATTATTCACTAATCAGTTTTATCACTGTACACTTTGTCTTTTCCCTAAGAATTTTTGTATTGTAGCTAATCTTGGCAAGAGTAATCATGCAAATCAGATTGCAAATGGATTTTCTATGTAAAACAAATATTGGACAAAATAAAGACATAAACCTGAACCTTTAATTTTGCCAAAAGTTCAAAATTGCATTAGACATAGTGAAAAAGAATAAATTCTACCTCATACAGGTAGTCAAATATTTCCAGTATTGTCAGAACACTGGCTCCAATAAATAGCCCCATCTGACCTCCGATGTCACCTACAGAAGAAGAGATGAACAGATATGAGCAGGTACACTAATTAAACAAAGCTGCACGAAACTCTTCCCACTGCTGTCGCATCTAATTCCCTGTATCTCCCAAAAATCGGAACAGAACTGTCAAAGGTTCTCACAAAGGGCGGAATATTTTATTAAACCCAGCCCTGGTGCCCTTGCAAGAGCATCAGATTATGAAAATGTGTTCAGCAAATCTGGAAGTTCAAAGAGAAACGCTCAAAGCACAAGGCCCCATCACACAAAGCAGACTTTGCTCCAGGGACCGGTGAGTGCTGATTCCAAAGTCATACTTGTTTTTTCCCTCCAATCTGAAAGGAAAGGCAACTGCAAGGTTCTTACCGAGAAGTCCTGCAATTTCATAAGCCTTCTTCTGCTCAATTTTCTCATAGTTTAGAGCTTCAAAGAAGATGTCCAACACCAATATATTCTCTCTGCAGAGAAGACAAACAAGAGCATATCCAGGACACATTATATCCTCTGATTAAATATTTCATCAGTTCATATCTCCCATTTTCTTGAGTAAGATTCTTTCATTATTGTTACATTGAAGGTGAACGATGGAGACGGAAGTTAAAATGCATTAGGAAAAAAAATGTGAAACTTCACTGATTCTACAAAGTACTTACCCAATATATTGCTCAGTTTTGTTGAATTTCTTAGCCAGATATTTAGCAGATGCCTTACTTGGGATCTTTACCATGGACAGCTCCTTGCCATAGCGAGTCATGTTGCAGGGGGTCTGACAGACACAGTAATCGTTGTCTTTCTCTACCAAAAAGTCTGTGGATGATCAAAGTTGTTTAAAAATATTGCAACCTCTTTGAAAGCAAAAGAAAAAAAAAAGCTCGTGCTAAAAATATTGCTGCATGAAACAGAAATATACTCGCTGCCATCGTTCACTTTCCATGAAAGCAAATAATGACTGAAGCCATATTACTGGAAAAAAGAGGAGGGGGGATAAAACTGGTGCGATTTATTTGAGCTCAGCGAAGCACAGTCACATCACAAATCTTTATAATGGAATTTTTAAACAATTATTTCTTTATTTTGCTTCAGCACTTTCTTGGAAGAACGTTATTTCTGCATAGAGCAACACAAGTAATATCTAAGGCCTAGAATATGCTCATTGTGACCCTGTTGAGCTCTGGGTTTAATACATTAATGTAGGAAAAAACCCTCATGCTGAACAAAATAAATTATAGGCTCACCTAAAGCTGGGTCAGCACAGTCTTTGTACTGCTCAGGCGTGCAAACTGTTGATGTACCTATTTGAAATAAAGCAAATGTAAAACTCTTCGCATAATTAAGCACCATAGTGATATTCAGAAGCCAGGTAAGGTTTGAATACATACCAGGCATGTGAACCATCCTGCAGTTGCAGTTCTCCAGCAGGTATCGTGTTTCACAGTCAATGCGGCATGCAGTGATGCTGTACGTTGAGAAAAAATCTGACTCTATCGGTGTAGACTTGCAATCTCCCCAAGGTTGTGGGAGGTACTGAAGCTGAAAGAGCAAACAACATGTTTCCCCTCAATATGTCGTCTCAGAGGGTTACACCAAACTACAGCAACAAATCAAAGAAACATGGTGCAAACCCAAAAAACAAAAGAGGACAACAAGCATACAAAAATCAGCACACATATACAAACTCTTAAGAAACGGATGTCTTTAAATAAAATTATTCTCTGTGATACAAAAGGCAGAAATTTGCAGTCAGAGCAATATTCTTGCTCATGTTTTGCAGCAGGCAGACACCATGCAGAACATCACAGATGCGGGTTTGGTTCCTGGCAGGAAACAGAGTACCATGGGAATAGATATGGGTGTAGTAACAGCAATCTGGATCGTTTGGAGAGGACACCAAAATCTATGAACAATTTTCTTCCTTACTAAAAGTCAGAATAGTTAACCGTTTTTAAAAGCAATTCCTTCAGAAGATTTTTGACATATATTTAAATGGTTTGTTTTTGTCACATTACGAGTTATGTTCATTAGTATCTGGCTTTCAGTATAATAAAGAAAATTTGCATTGCCTATTATAATATTTCTTTGAATATTATGTTAATGAATTCAATAGCGTGATGAAGTTAGTTTGCTGTGTCATTAGAAAACTAACTTTTAAAACGTCTTTACTGTGTCTTGCAAACGTATTCATACCCCTTTAATATAGGTCAAACTAACTTTTCTGTAACTTAGTGGGATTTAATGCAACAAACCCACACAAAATAAAGTTGCTAAAATGCAAATTGTGAGAAATATTATACATGTTTTTTTTTTTGAGAAGCAACCTTTCGCTGCAATTACAGCTGTAATTCTAATGGGTTTTCAACCATCTATAGACCAATTTCTTTGCACCTTTTTATTTGCTAAACAGATTGAATTAAGTCAGATTAAATGGAATTCACTTTTCAAGTTTTCCAGCATTTAATTCTGACTTTAACCCCACCCTTCAAATACCTAGGGTTTTACCAAAACCATCCCGTCCCAGCTCTACCAATGTTTGTATTACTATCTCCCAGGTTTAAGACCAGTACAGCCTCTTACAGGTTTTCTTCAGTTTTCTTCCTCATCAGTTTCAAGTTTCATCCGCATAACCAGCCTTCCTGCTCCTGCAGAAGATAAGCATGATGAGGTCATCACCGTCTTTTACAATTTCAGCTGAATTTAGTGTAATGTGCTTTGCCTTTCTCCAAACAGTGTTTTGCATATATTTGCTGTGCCGCCTACATAGCTTGTGATAAGAGCCTCTTGGCAGCTTCTGCAAAGGCCGATTTTTGCCTGAGACCTTTTTAAAGGTATCACAGTAGAAGAGTCTAAATACATGCAAAGTAAACTTTTCAAATTTTGATTTTAAATCCTTTGAAAAAAATTTGAGGTGTTTTCTTTTAATTTAAAATATGCACTGCTGTATGAGTTGCGATGCAGTCACATAAAATCCCGTTAAAATGGTTGACTTTTTAGGATGCAATGTGACCAGATGTAAAAAGTCCAAAGGTGTTACTTTATTGTATGTCTCGTACCAGGTCTGTAGGTTGTGCTGTTCTTTTTACATATCTTTGCAGGTGATGAAGCAGACTGAAAATGTTTTATCGTTGTCTTCCTTTTATCTCCTCTTTCTTTCATCTTTTCTCAGTTTTTCCTCTTCTGTTCTACTTACATTGCAGTGTCCATATAATCTGTAAAACTCCCTGCATAATTATAATAAAGCAGTTTATATGCATGAAACAAGCGGAACACTATGGCAACAGCCCTACTGCTCCACTTGTGAAAGTAAAATCTTTTGGGCTCTTTTTGGCATCAAAACAATTATTCTTATTGCCACATTGCCAGACAGGACACTGTTAAAAAAATATATATATATTTACTGAAACTATTTAATGTATTTAATGCATTTAATGCATATGTTGTTCCCACCTGTCTGTTTTCTATTAAGAGCTTGATATTGTCATGATCTTGGGGCCAATGACTGGCTTAGGCCCCATCCACACAAAGTCAAACCCTGGCCTAAATGCACAAATTTTTCACCAAACCAGCCTCTCATCCATACGAAGCCGGCGTTTCGGGGGTCTGTAAACAATCTTTTTTTTATTAAGCCTTCAGAGTGGGAAGATTTTGAAACGCCGTTTTCGCGTTTCCATCTTTAATGTCTGACCGCATTTTTTTTTTACACGCATGCGTCATAGCGTCGCCTCTAAACACGCATGCGCGACACAGTATCACCACAACAATGGCGCCGTACTGTGTTGAATGGTTGCTGCTCATGCTACTCACCCTGCTGTCGGGCTTACAACAGAATCTTCTTCTTGTGGAATATCTCCAGGAAGAACAGAGCAATATCGACGACATAGTTCATCACCTCAATTTGACTGAACCACGAAAATGGACCCGCAGGGCCATTTTCCGGTTTGGTTGTTGTATAAATGTTACTGCGCATGCCCAACATTTCGTTGCCTGTTTTCGCCTATTTTTGCTTTGGCACCACAGCACCACTTACAGACCTGGCATACATTTTGCAGCGTTTTCATGCATTCGTGTGGTCGATCACAGTTATTTTACGTCTCCGTCTTTACAACAAACGTTTTGGAAAATATTAGCGTTTCGTGTTCGTTTTGACTTCGTGTGGACGGGGCCTTAATTATTCATTCCATTCACCTGTCCAAGTTGGTTTTTAATCACTTCTCATCTGATCCACCTGCTACTGCCTCTATTTAAGGCACTTGCATCCAGTCGTTCGCACCAAATTATTCTTGCTCTCTCTAGCCAGTGGTGGAAGTGTTTTTAGAGTTCCTTGGTGTGTCTGATTTCATGATCCTGACCTGTTCTGCCTCTCAACCCCTAAACTTGCCTGTTCCCGTCTGAATGTTTTGCCTTAACTGTCTTTGGGCTCCTGGACCTCTGAGCCTTCCTGTTCCTGTTCTCATCTGTTTGCCTGACCCGTCTCCTGACTCCTGCTTGTTCTCCGGGGCTGCAGCATCTGGGACACTCTGGGCGGCACCAGTTGCATCTTGTTGGCAGCCCACCAGCTGGTTCCTACCTGGTTCTCTGGCTATGGACTGAACTGGTAAACCAGTGTTTTCTGCCTCAGACGTCCTAGCAGCTCTTAACACAGACCTGTTTATTTTAATAAACACTTTTTGAGTAATACCACTGTCTGCCTTACCTGAAAACTGCATCCGTCTGTTCTGAATCGTTACAGATTTGTACTGAACAAACTGATGTCTCACTACCAACAAGATGTTCAGTTTCATTCCAACCTTTTGTTTATAGCATCCAATACTTATTTCATAACAGAAAAGAAAGAAAGAAATCCAAGCAAGTTTATGTATATATATAAAATCCTGTTGCTTGAGGATTCTTGAGTGCTTTGAATCAGCAACAGCTTATAAAGCAATATGAGCCTGATCAGCAATCAGTGCCAAAAGCTTCTTCCTGTCAAGCATCTCAATTAAAATAACTTAGTTGCTATTGTCCTATTAGGGAGGGGAAGTCTTAATTGATTCCAACATCCCTAAACAGGAAAACTCTCACAATCAAAGAGTTATTTAGTCAAGGAGTAGTGTCAGGCAAAGTGCAATTCGCTGATGGAGTAAACCTAAACTGGCAAACATGATTAAGGTTTTATTGAACTTCCTTTCTAACCCACAGACTTTCATGTCCACTTTTGTGGACATGCACTAAACAAAAACCCCCTGGTGAGAGTGAAAAATAGAAGACAGAATCCTCACAGCATAAAAGCTAGTGAAGGACACCGTCTGGTCCTTTCAAATGATACAGCACAGAGTGTTTATAATCTGCTTTATTGAGATATGAAAGCAAAATACAAACTATGTTGACACAGCTGTGCATGGAAAAGGAAGGGGTACAACTAACCAACCAGCAAAACTTTAATCAGGACTTCCTTTAAGCCTAAGTAAAGGGCTTAAAGGAAGGACACACATTAGCTACTGAAGTTCTACACAGAGAAAGCAAAGATGCAAGAACACACAGCAGAAACTGTTGTACGTAGTTGCTTCAGGCGCATAGAATGGGAAAGGGGGAGGCACACAAATCCATTCCCCTGTATGGTGGGGGAAACAGCAGGTAACAAAGTAGAATTTACCACGTTTGGAACAATTAAACAGTACAGTATTTTGTAGCATGCAGCAAGGCTTTTCATGCCTCTGCCGGGGGAAACCCCAAACCCCAGCTCACGAAGGAAAGGAGGCTCTGACTGATAATGAGGCTGTACCTTTATGCCAGCCTCATAGGACATATCATCTAGGGTGAGGACTGAGGGAACACGGCCCACATCATTATCAAAGTCAAAAGGCAAGCAGCATAGCGGAAAAGGATATGAAGTGAGCAGGCTCTTCAGATATACACTCTAAAAAAGTCCCACACCAAACCTGCTGCGCTGTTGGATGCAATTTATTTTAGATAGTTAAAATAATATTATCAGTGTTAATGAAGTTTTTAAGAGGGAAAACATAAAAAGCATAGAGCTAAAATAAGCTATTTTGTATATTTCTGAGTTTTAGTCAGCATGTGAGGAAGTAAGTGGATCCTTTCTAGCTTTCTGTCTCTATTTGTCCAGGAAATATAGTATAGAGATAGTATAGTAGTATAGAAACAAAAATATTGTTTGGGGTCCTCACTATGAAGTCCACTTTCAAGTTGCACAATTATGATGAAACCAACTTACTTTGATAACTATGGCCTTTTAACACAAACTTACATAAATTCCAAACTTACATAAATAAATACTATCAGAAGAGTTTGGACTCTGCAGAGGCAGTGTTTTGGAAGCGTCGGACTTAAAGTAAGGGTTTTAAAATTATTTATCTTGATCTATAGAGAGTAGGTGGTCAGCTAGCTGCTCACATATAGCTAATGGTTAATGCAAGATGATAAAGACATTTTTAAAATGTCAAACAAATCCTGGTTGTTCTTTTCTTTTTTTGCAGACTGCTTAATGTGAACTCAGATTCAAATATAGATTATTATTGACTGCTCATGACCTAAAATTGTAGAGAAAGCACTTTTTAAAATTCTGATCTTCTACTATACTAGAATAGAAACCAGGATGGGCTATAATTGGTATAAGTTCAGTTCAAAAATGGGACGAAATATATAAATATTATCTCGCAAATGCAGTCAATAGCTGAATTCAACTCCTTTTTTTGTTTTGAGTTATATTATAATACTGCTCTGAGCAATTTAGTAACAAATGCCTTTTAAGACCACACCATAGTGACAGTATATTGATAATATGAATGTTGGCCTGACAGTCTATTAATGCAGCCCATCATTCAAATTATAAACGCATCTTTTTTCTGTCACTGTTATGTCTGCTGGTGTCATGATTATTAATTACTTATCTTTGCATTTTAACACTCATGTTGAAAATCTGCAATGGTAACTAATACAACTAACTGACTTCTTAATGATAGCTGAGCGATGGTAAATATTTAGCATTGCAATATTAAAGAAAAGAAAAGTCAGATTTTTCACAGCAAGGTTCCCCAAAAATGGAATCTATAATCTTTTTGTGGTGTCCAAGAGTCAAAAATATGCCTCAATCATCCCATGCTATTCTGCTAAAACAAGACAGATTTCACATTAACATTTCATGCTGATGAAGCAGCCAAGCTGATGAACTTTTGGAGCAAAATCATTTACATCTGGCTTCATTAATTGCTAAGGAAATTAATTTGATTAACAGCTCATGTCCTTTACTTCACTACGACTGATTATGTGCAGTAAATTTTAATGAGTCTGCAGCACAATTAAAAAATACAGTTTGTCATAAAGTGTAATTATTATGATCATTGCAAAATTTAAAAACTCCTTGTAGAAATGCTTTTATAAATAGCTTTTTCTCATTCCTGCCCCTTCTGTCCAAAATTTGATGATCTTTGCCTTGTTTTTCCAAACAAGACAAAAAGATACCCAATTGGAATCTGTTCTACAGGAAACATCATATAAATTATAAACAGTTTCATTAAATTTGAATTTAAAACCCATGTTCCCACTGTTATAATCCACAATGGCCCCTTGAATCAATTAAGTCCCAACCGAAGTTATTACTTTTCATCTTTTAGAGATGGTGGTGGAGCCTTGGCTGTCATGCAAATTTTCTTCAGTCAACAAACCCAGCCAACGGCTTTTCTGCTTGTCATTAAATTTTGTGCTTAAATCAGAGTCTGTGCTAAAAATCTATGGGTACTTTAAGAGCTGCTGGAAGCAGAGATTTAGACATTGCATCAAAAAGTGTGCTATGCTTCTTTTCACACCTAACCCACAGGAAACTAGCCATTTGTTTTAAAATTTCAGTTATTTTTAGCAGTGGCTGCAGGAAGATAATGTAAAAAAAAAGTCCTCTTAAAATGCTCTGCAAACAAAGGACCTTTGAAGAAAAACATGCTGCGCACCACTTTGAAGATTCTGACAGATTTGAGGTAATTAAAATAGATTTTTTTTTTTCTCCCTGGCTTAAAATAGAGGAATCTATCTTAGCAGCCACATGTAGTTGGATTCTCTTCCCTATCAAGTGGGTTTGGCTCTGAAGGAAACATCACGCTCATATGCTTCCATCTAATCATTACTTGGCCCTGCTTTGCCAATAATTCTTGATTGCTTTGATTCCCAAGGTTTAATTTTGTGGAAACCACACTAACCCTACTTTTCCCACGTGGGGGTAATTAGTGAACTGATTTTGCTCCATGCTCTGTTAGATGCAATAATGTCCACCAGCTGGCAATAAAGGACAGGGACAAACACTCAATGAGACTGGCGGGAAAAAAAAGGGGGTCAGAGGCTCATCGTTAGCTACCAGTTGCTGCTGACATGACACAAAAGTTTGAAAACCAGGGGCTACACCAAATCCCAGCTGGTCAATGAAGGGCGGCTCGTCCTGGCTGTGGATTTGAACCTTGATGCCCGCTTCATACGATGTCTCATCTGTGGATACAGCACGCCAGAAAATATAATAACATGTGCGGCCCTCGAAGTGAAACCGCTATTTGGGTACTTGCTTGTTGGAGCAATCAATGATCAACTATTGTTTTCTAAACTGCTGGTTTACAACTAGTTCGATTAAAATAGAATTACAACCACAGATTTCCTTTATACTGTTTCTTTCATGAATACATATCGACGCTAATGTATTACAGCAAACTTTGTAATAAGAGTTGGAGAAATTATGAAGAACTGCAAATAGAATAGCTTTTTTTTGCTATTGTGCTTCTCAAAAGTATTCATATTCCTTACATTTTCTTTCTCAAAATGTTGACATACTGTACTCATAAACACGTATGCAATCTAGAGAGATTCAGTACAACAGACTAATAAAAAAGAGTATTTTTGAATGCATTTTGCAAATATAAATATACTAAAATAGTCCTTTCAGAAGTATGTTTCTATCAGCAATCCACAGCTCTAGAGAGGAAATGTTGGCAATTTTTATGTGTAAATGATCTGAAGCTAAATCATGTTAGACAAAGAGGCTCTGCAAACATCAATTCTCAATTCCTGCAAAGAACATCTTTCAGTCAAATGTCCAATCATGCTTCAGGTTATGTCCAAGGTTTGAGCCACAGCTAGACTTTGTTAACTAATGGTTGCAGTGGGTTTTATTTAGTGGTGCTGAGTAAAGAGTGTGAAAATAAATGCCAACCACTAAGCTCTATCCTTGTATACAATCTTGAAAAGCACATATCCTTCAACTCCTAAACCAATAACGCATGCTTCTTTTTTAGCCACACTTCTTTTTTGCTTGATTGCTTAAAATCCCAATTAAATGCACCTAAATATGCATTTTTTTTGCATAGAAAGTTTGAAAGACTTCAAGGGATAGGAATACTTTTGCAGCACGCTGTTGCTCCTACGTATGGCTATAATCACAATCTAAATTACAAATGCAATATAAAGACGTTTTAATAAATTTATTCACTTGATAGTGTTAGAAAAAGGTGGGCTTAAAGTTGTACTGACCTGTCTCTCCCCAAACAGGCAGGTATTCATCCTGCTGGATATCCAGCATGATTTCCAATCCATTCCCTGTGCCTCCCTTTAATGTGGTCAGCAAAGGGTTGCCATCTAGCCCCGAGTTGAAGGTGTAGCATTTCCCGTAGCGAGTGTAAATCTGTGAATAGAGAACAAAACAATAAAACAAAAGAAGTGTTACACCCACCCCACAGCGTCGTGGCAACCTGTGCACCAGTACAAGCTACATTACATGAAAGTGTGGAGAGGAGTTAATAATCACAGAGGTTTTCTGATCATCAGAGCAAGCAAAGAAGGTTCGTTCAAAGCCTGTGCTGCAGAGAAAGAAGCCTTCACTGTGAATGGGCACCTGGCTCTGGTTTAAGAAATTAATGAGGGTACCTTGGCAGCAGCAACAGCCATCAATCTTTATCCAATTTCACTCCAAATATCCTCTGAGTGATTTAAAGAAAATATAGTGTTTTACCTTCAATGAAGTAGAAACACAGATGGTGGAAACTAGGTGGTCACAGAAAAAATCTCCAAACTGGGATTGAAGCAAAGCCAGTATAGCACAGCAGCTTTTAATAATTGATGACCAGTCACTGCAGGTCTTTTTTTTCCTTGTCAAAAATCTACATTTATACAGCTTTTTCCTCATAATTGTTTTTTTCTTTATTTATTTCAGAAAAACTAAGTAAAAAAAAAAAAAATTCTATTTGGATCAAAGCATCATACACCTGATATATGATAGCACAACAGAAGGGAGATGTCGAACAGCTAATGGGGGTTAAGGAAGAGACAACAGCATGGCGGATCGTATCAACTACCAAAGGTCAAAAAATTACCCAAACCTGCGCCAACCTTGCAGGAGATACAGATTAAATTCCTCTTCTTTCTACACTTATAGACAACAAACCAAGCATTGTTTTAGTCAGCATCCCCAAGGCATTCTGCATCTCAGGATGGTACTCCGTTAAAAAGCTGGCATACAAAATCACCATGCAGGAGATATGATTAAGATTATAGAAGTGTGCCTACCCTCAGTCCATTATATTTTAGAAGCTGTTTTAGGAGCAAAGATCTTCACATTGTCACAGTCTCCCTACACAACAAAATCAACAAAATATTTAAAGCAAACAAGCAGACAGTAAAAAAGCTTTCTGTCGGGTTAAAATTATGCCATTTCTGTTAATGCACCTGTTTTATCATTTTAATATTTTCTAAAACTAATCGTCTGATTAGTCGGGTAATTATTTAGATCAATCAAATAGTTTCTTAATTTGTTGTTTAAAATGATATAACAAATTGACTTGGCTGCCCGATAAAGCCTAGAATCTAATAAAAAAACCCCCACTGAGAATCAGTTTGAGACTGATCAGAAGGCAGAATAGGCTGGTTATGTAACACATATTACAAAATAATAACCATCTGAAGTATAACACATTGCAAAAGAAATAGCAATATTTGTTTTGTATGAATTTTGAAGCTATTTATGAGAGTTCGCGACAAATAAGTATATGAAAAACTCATGACTGCAAAAGAACTAAACACAAGAATCTAAATTTCGTAAACAAAAAACATAGAAGCTTAAAAACAAGTCAGTGTTTAATGGTTAATACATTCAATTATTTATCTAATAATCTCGATATTAACCACATCAAAATGCAGACACTATATATGTAACACAACACTTTAAATCTAACTGACACGGCAGCAAAGCAATGCATTTAGTCATCTAGATTTATTAAGGATAATTTACTAAAGTTCAAACCAGGTATTTGTATGGGAAAGTATGGTTTAAGCATGGACAGTGCAGCAAACAAACCTTAAATAATCACTGGTTTCTTGAACATATTGATTATTTTCACTTTACCCAAAAGGCATGTATGGCTGACAGATCTCAGTTCAACAGACTGGGAATCATGTAGAAAGGAATATTCCATGACGAATGTGCAGTAAACTGTTTTGCACAAATCTGTGATTCCAAAATGTCAGTATGCACCCAAATCTTTGAGTAGGGTTTCTTACATCTTGTTCTATTCTGAAGGCAAAAAGGAACTCAAACGAGGCTGATTTAACTAAAATGACCATCGAGTGTCTGACTTCCACATGATCATAATAGGAAGAAATATTTCATGATCAATATCAATGATCTCCTGTTAAATGTTTTAAGATCTTTGTCGTAAACAAAAGTAGTATAAAATGACGGGTGTAAAAAGTCACAGCATACTGTTTTGTAAGTTTATTTTTTATAATCATCCTTTTGAATCATGGTAGAAAAGCTATGATTGACTTTCATTTGGTAATTTTCATAGAATATTTATGCATTTTACTTTTGTCTGATTTAGGTTATTTCTTTGACCATTGTGTTTATTCTATCATTAAATGAGGTTCACTAACAGATCTGTGTACCTCAAGCTTAATAATAACAGCAATCCAAGTACATTACACATTCACAAAGTATATTACACATTCACAAACACAATAAAAACAGTATAAAGCTCTGTGGTTTTGAGCAATTGGTGTATCTTTAGCACTTGTCTACATCCATCTCACCCTGTTTAAGAAGCAAACTACAGCTCCTGGTGACTTTTCATCAGTTATCCTCTGTAGCGAGGCTGTGTTAAAGGGTCTGCTGGCAGAAAGCCAGCCAGCTGGGCAAAGCTGATCTCCAGAGATCAGAGTCAGTGTTCCGTGTCCAGACTCACACCGACTTTTCTGCAGCTTAGACAGATGCTGTTCGACAGAGCTCTATGACTTTTCCCATTGCAGGCCATATAATGAGGTCTGCTAAGTGACTTGAGACCATCAAACTGGTGGCTTTAAAAAAAATTTACACTGCAAATTAAACAAAATAAGAAGGCCAAAAAAGTCAAACTTCAGCTACAGCAAAAGATGTTTTAGATAGAAGCACAGCTTAATTGCAAAATAGCACTGTGTCTGGCTATGAAGATGGACTTTATTAATACTACAGAAGCTATGCACTGATATCCTAAAGAGACAGTTGAGCTGTCGTACCCTGTTGTGCTCTTGCACCACTTATATTTATTTTAAATATTGCATGTTTAAAGTTGTCACAGTTACTTAACGTGTTTGTTTCTATGCCGATGATCTTCATCAGTCATAGCCATACCCTAACCCTTCATTAAAAATAATCCAGCTAAATCTGCATGTTCTTTGTTTTTGTTTTTTTCAACCATGATAACACAGAATATTAGCATAAAACTGGGTATGAATGCTTTCCAATTCTACACTGCAGTTACCTAAATATAAGAGCTAGCGGCTAGCACAAATCTAAATGAGATTCTGAGCAGAATCTGATTTGGAGCTTCAGTCAAATCTGCACTAAGAATTTGTTGTCAAATTCCCATCTGTTTTTATATTTAATCACTCTTAAAAGACACTAGTAGTTTCTAGTCAGATACAAATGTATCAGGTCAAAATATTTAAATTTTCTTTGCACATATTTATTCCATTTTAAATTTTTATCAAATACACAGACAGAAATAAAACAAAGGTAAGTTTACTTTCATAAACACCTGTTCTGGTTAGGGAAGAGGAACTGCTTTAATTGGTTGCATTTCCAATGTGTTTAAGTACAATGTGGATAAAATGTTATCCTACAACATACACAAGGTTGGGTTTTTTTCGGGTTTCAGTTTTTCAGTTCAGACCAGAGTCTGAGCCTTCCCAGACTAAGAAGCTGTGTATTGAATAGACATGGTGCAAGTCAGTCTGGCAGGTCAGCTTACTGTAAGTAATTTACATGTTGCTAGATTTAAAATTGTAAAAGCTGAAAACCAACAGAACTCTAAAGTTTTGGACCTTTGTCCTGCTGCGTAACCAAAATAACCACAAGCTAAAGGTTAGAAACCTATAATCTGTCATTCTCTTTCAGAATTCAGTGACAGAGGGCAAAATGTATTGTTCGGTCACTTAAAACAAATATTCTGATAATTACACAGCCAAATAGTACTGGGCCATCAGACTACTGCCCCATATTTCACTTTCAGGTAATATTAAAGGTATAGTGGATGATTTTTTGCGATTTTTTTTAAAAGACCTGCCCTCTTCACTTAAATAAAAAAAGTAACTATTTGCATTGTTCATACAAGCTTACTTTTCAAAAGAAGATTTGCAATTTTTCCATTATGTCAGTTGGTAGCAGTGCCGACTTGAACAAGAAGGTTCCGGGTTCGATTCCCTGTCTGGGTCTTTGTGCATGGTGTTTGCATGTGCTCCCTGAGCATGCGTGGGTTCTCTCCGAGTACAGCGGCTTCCTCCCACAGTCCAAAAACATGACTGTTAATTGGTTTTTCTAAAAAAAATTGTGTGTGCGTGAATGAATGATTGTTTGTCCTGTTTGTCTCCGTGTTGCCCTGCAATGGACTGGCTATCTGTCCAGGGTGCACCCCGCCTCTCACCTGTAGACAGCTGGAGATAGGCAACAGCACCCCTTGCACCTTAGGATAAGCGTGATGGAAAATGGATGGATTGATGGATGGATGTCAGTCTCACCACCAGTAAGTGAAAATGGGGACAACACACAGGACGGCCTTATGTAAACATATCACCAGATTGACAATTAAGAGGACCACTTATTTTGATGATCCACTCGGAAAAAGAACATCCGCCAATGTACCTTTAAAGTGTTTTACTTCACGTGAAAAGGGACTTTTACTTCAATAGCTGCTTTTGATTTAGAACTCTACCACAGATTTATCACCATCCCATGCCATCCCTTATAGTGATTTGTTTGCAAGATTTTATACTGTATAGGAAATTAAACAAATTTTTTTACATTTGACCAGGTTTTCATTATCTGATTTTTTGTTTCCAAAAAGTAGAATAAAGATTGCTAGAGGGAAATAGTTTCATAATTGAATTCAGATGTTTAAAAACATTTCAGTGTGATGGGGAAAAAAATCTATCATGTTTGAGAGGAAAAAAGCAGGACTGGATTAATGTCTGCTCCTAAACATCAACTGAAAACAGCCTAAGAGGAATGTTGCTCTGTAATGGTAATTTCTCAAATAAGTCATTATCACAACTTGCAAACACTTATACCCCACACCTGGCAGTCACAATCTTTCTCTTTCTACATACAGTGCTGAAGTTTTTGTAGGTGCACGTCTCCCCACGAAACCGACACTCCAA